TCTCTCTCTCTCTCTCTCTCTCTCTCTCTCTCTCTCTCTCTCTCTCACACGTTTTCGGACGGGCTTTTGTCTTCACAAGCTTCACCCTCTGTTTTTTCGGAACTCGAATGTTGGCAGAAGAAGGTGTTGTAAGGTGATGATGTCAAGCAAAGTTTTCTTAAAGCAAATCATCTTTCCAGCATAGGCCGACTTCTTGCGTTTCAAGACGCGGCGTCTACATGGAGTAACTTTCGAGATCGGTGCCGATAGGAAGATCCACGCACACACACTTCACAATGATAACAAGTCTGCGGGAGCCAGCGAAAACGCCACCTTCACACGGGAGAGGAACGCTAGGGGGAAAGAAATGGAACTGCCGTCGGACGTAATTCCCCCTTAAAATGCATTAGCGGCTCCTGCTGCACCCGATGAGGTTCAAATTGAGGGGTCAAAGGTGGAAACACCCACATCTCAGCCGGTTCCAGCCGGCCACGTTCGGAGTTGTCACTTCAGGCGCCCCTAATCCGTCCTGACGGGCTGATGTTTTCCGCCGGTCGCCACGGACCGTGGGAACGGGAGAGTGAGCAGTCCCGTGGGAGGGCTGGACTGAAAACAGTCGCCGGGTTGCTGCCTGCCCGGCGTGGGAAACCCCCCCTTTTCGGGGCAATCCGAAAGTAGGACCCTGGTTCTCGCATTACTGTTAATTGATAAAAGGCTTGAATCTTACAAACACCATTAACAGTGCCTAGTCTACCGGAATATTGAAAAATAAGTCATGTGAATTGGCAAGGTGCTCATAGATGCACTGTATTCACCCTAAAATGACCCACGTTGGGTACAATCCAGCATGTGGCCTTGGTTGTTTGTAGGAAAAAACAAAAACAACATCGAACAATGTAAAACAATCATGGCCGCTGTATATCATTTACCTGAAGGGGTGGAGTTTGGAGAGTGAATTATGAACATCCACATCTGAACAAAAGGTCATGTATGTGGCGATAGAAACTTTGCCTTAACTTTAACGAAGTTAGCAACCACTGAATATTTTGATGCAGTAAGGGGTTATGATTGCTAATGGAACTTAAATCGCCATGGCAACATGTAAGCCTGAGGGACTGCAATGTTGCACGCTATATCCTCATTCGCTCGAACGGTTCAAATGACTTGAAGATCAGACTTCAAGTTCCCGCCTTTTTTCAAACAGCCGTGGCACTTGTGTTATTAAATCTTCGACAAACAATCAGGGCCTCTCGGCAAACCGTCAACGAATCAATAGTAGCGGCAGTAAAACACAAGTAATCAAACGAAAATGAAAGCTGGTCATTCAACAAAGTGGCCAGCGCTCGGCCATACAACACACCAGCAGCTGCAAGGTTATGTTTGAAACATTCAAAGTCCGCGGTTGGCGGCACACCAGTACCGGGGCGATGCAACGAGCGCTGCGCGGCCCCGTCAAATCCGACCGGTCAGCATTCATGATTCAAGCGGGTCCTTTCCGCCACGTGTCCCGCTGACGGACGCACCTTGCGCCTTGTGGTACATGTGCCACGGCTGCACTGTCCGGTCGCGTGCCCCTTAGTTCTCGCGAACAATAACTCCCTCCCCCTGAGTGGCGGGTGGCGCATTTCTGGACGGGCACAAGCGCACGCTCCGCTCTGAAACTTGACCGGCCGGGGGGGGGGGGGGGGAACCACATTCTTGTACACACTGCCCGCGCACGCTCCACAAAACAAGCGACAATGCCACCTTTTAGTCCGGCTGGCAACGCGCACGTGTCCAGTTCCATTGTTTGAATTTCGAAACACAAATTCCGAGAAGACGTCACCGTGGAAGTATTTTAACTGTGTGTAAACAAAACAGGATTATTTTTCCCCCCTTGGACAGGCGTGGGGTATTTCGCAAGAAGTGAACTGTTTTGTTGTTCGAGTTTGCAGAGGGGGGAAATGCAATGAAAGGAAACAAAAATTCCAGCTGTAACGAAAAAAATATGACAATGAACAACCGTCCACTGTGAATGGACTGCTGAGTAAATCGCCATCTATGACGTCACTCTCGATCCGTCACAAGGCCAAACAAATTCTGCCCGTAGCCTTTAAAAAAAGGCAGCTGCCGGTGAATACCAAACTAATGACATCGTCGAAACTTTGCAAGTCTCTCTTTCTTCGAAAAAAATTCCAATGACACGAACACGGGCAGCGGCGAAGTGAGCACTTGAAGGTGTTTATTGACAGTGACAAAATTCTGCGATATTTTTCAATATTTTACACACACACTTCGGAAACACACTTATTATTTTCTTGGTTGGAGCCCTATTTTGAAAATAAACCCACCGTATAACTAACCCAAGCAAACGTCTTTAGCATGTTAGGCGCGCAGAGGATTTCCGTGTTATGTAAATGTTTTAGCAAGAATTTTAGTTAGAGACAAGACTGGGTACTGGTGCGAGGTGTTGATTTGAAACCAGCGCCCCGTGGCCTGAATGCTTGTTCGAAAACATGTTTGAACATAATTTTGTTTCGGCGCTTTGCTTAACGTGGGGGGATCGGTTCCAGGAAGCGGCGGGGAAATTAACAGCATCAACGTCAAACCGGAAGAATGTACACAACGCATCTCTCACTGAGTCGCATGATGTCATCACAAAGTTCCAGATTAATTCCCGTGGAATTTCACTGAATTGTAAAAATCTTACAGCGTTCACTAATGTCGATTTTTAAGATTTTGGCGGTGAAGATTCTTTAACACAGAAATAATAACAGGCTACGAAAACAAACCAAGAATATATAACAAAATAGAAAGTGTTTTTTAAAGCGCACGAAACAAACTCTTTTTTAAAAAGACGCAGTTTACAAATTTGACAATGTACTTTGTCAAATTTGACCTATCAGAAAAGGTCGACAGGAAGCGACCGTCATTCCAAACAAATGTATGGTATTAAGCAACTATTTACACGAATGGTTACATATTACCATTAACCCCAAACGACGGATGAATAAGCTGTTGTGGAATGAGGCTTATCAAATTGTCATTTTGTAATGCCAAGCAGGTGCATCTTCCCCCATGAATTCCGAGAAACCGGAACTATAAATGACGAAATTTTTCGGGGCGATTGTCGAAACTCGCTGCATTCCGATGACTCTCTGCCGGCATAGAGATCTGAAAGAGCGCGCTCTCTTTCTGTTTTTACCAAGTCTGTCATAATCTGTATTTTAATCAAAACAGAGTGGCAGCTTTAAAATACTTTGAATATTTGATAATCGTTATCTGAACATACCGCGAGGATATTAGCGAATATCGCTCTTCACACTGCGTAGGGCAGTACACGGATTATCTATCAATTTCTAAGTGTTGGGTGCTCTGTGAAATTTAGGTGAAGAAATAAAAATAAAATAAAATAACTTGAACACCTGTCTAAATATCCAAATAGGGGCTGATGTAGGGGGCGGGCCTGACAGTCAAGGGCTCACTCACAACCACAATTTTGCTACTATAGACGCTTTGCGTGGTAGCCATCTTGAAGGACAGTTCTTTTGTTCCAAGAGAAACCTCCTTTTTGCATACCCTGTGGAAAAAAGGATCTGCCCTGCAAGATGGAGGCCATGCAAACCCTCCACTAGCAGCTTTATGAAACTGGGTGCAGGGGGGGTAATGTCGAAACACAAACGCATGGTTAACTCGACCGTTGATGCCCAGTGCAAATGAAGGACATGTACATATGCCATGTACACTATATGCGTACTTGACCCCAACCCCCGAGGGTGTATGTAAAATCATATTGAAATCGAGGGACTTGGGACTGTCAGGGATGGCTATTGTCCACATGATGGAGGGAAAGTTGACGAGTGCTCAGTGAAGCGTCTGCTAACTCAAGTTTGTCAGTATATGTGACAGGCACTAGTTGTGCCAGGAAAAAAACACACCACGGGTCGATGGATGAACGTCACTCACCCGTGTGTTTATTTTTTATTTTTTTGTTAAATCCATACATCGGGCTGGTGTTATAGTTTGCGGAAATGCTTCACTACATTTCGGCCCACAGACAAGGACGAGTACCAGCGTCACATGCCCACCAACCGAGATCTCCTATTTGTTTATATTCTTAAAAGGGTTTTTAATTGTCTGTATATTTTCCAGTACAGCACCATCGTATGCTCCAGGGGGTTGGCCAAGGTGATTCTCGGACTGATGGCCTGCGGAAACGCACGCCAACGACGCGCTGCGCGGAGGTTGGGCACAAGACTTGGTCCCGACCCAAAGTGCAGTGGAAAACGGTGGGGAAATGTCACTTCGGCCCGCTTGTCTTGGCGGGGGCAGATCGACCCGCAGGTGTTAATTGCATGGGATGTTTATAAACAAGTCGGGCGCTTGGAATTTGTAACTTGGGTTTATTTACATCAACAACATGGCTGCAACTGTTATTTTGTGAATGTGACGGACACGGCTGGCCAAAGGCCAAAAGCAACGCACCATGTGGCCGTTTTGCAAACCAATGGACTATATTAAACAGAACTGACTAACCAACAGACTGATTGGCGAACGCACAGAATCACTGATTGGACAGTTGGCCTTCTCCAAAAGTTGAGACGCCAACCAATCAGAGAGCTAGCGAACGCCAAACGCAAAACCATTAACAAAGCTCCAACTCTCCATACTGGAAGGTTGACAAACTTGATAAGATATTGCAGGGTATCTCCATATTTATTCATGATTTGAACCAAGTGCCTCTAAATTACACCCGACCACGATACCTCCAGTGGCGAAGCTAGGATGTTACTAGGGGGGCACAAGGGGGCACCAGTATCTTATGGGGGGGTACCAGCTTTCAGTGGGGTGTTTTTTTTTTGGGGGGGGAAGCTTTTGTTAGCCTTGTTCAATATTTTAGGGGGGGTCACCGGGAAAGGGGGGGAACATGCCCCCCCGTGGCTACGCCACTGGATACTTCTGGTCAAATTTCCACCCAAAATCAAAACCTACCGTTAAAACATCAAATAAATGGCCGTATAACTTCGAAAGTCAAAATATAAACAAAACGTGTATAGAAAAAATGGCCACATTAAATAAATTCATCTCAATCTGATACGGTCCAAACAACGGGACACTTAAACACAAGTGTCCTGCTATAGATATAAAATGAACAATTTGCCCCCAACTTGAAAATGCTACAACTCATGAGTGGGATCCCACCCTAGATTAAATTGATCGAGAGGGAAAAAAATGAAGCTTGTCAATGCATATTACTCAACCAGAGCAAATAAAAACTAGAATGTTTTCATATTTTGAACTAATTCATTCATCCCTCTGTTTACGATCCAGGTCTCAGATCATATTCAATGGAGACACTGAAGCTTGTTCAACATTCGCAAACCTTTGTAAGTAGGTTTATTTGGATGGGAACGTATATTTCACTATGTTCACCGGCTGCTGTTGATCAACAACACATCTGCTCAGGGCTCATATTTCAATCACCTGTGCACTTTTTTTTAACGATGCATATTTATTATCATAAATATTCACGATTTGCAGAAGCAAAAACGTGTACAGTCTCAAATTTTTATTTCAACTTATTCAACAGAAAAGGGAAGGAATGGCCCGGAGTCAGTGGGCCAAACGTTAAGTCCACTCAAGGCAGATAAAGGAGATGGACTATTTTTGAGTACGATGGCAAAAACTCTGTCGACCATAAAAAAGAAGGCTGAAATCTTGTCCTTTTGCTTGTCCAGAGGAAAAATGTTCTCCATTCGAAGACAAGTAAGTAGCCCATTTTCTAATGCACAGGCGGCCAACAAAAGAAATTCACAAGATTTCTTAGTGGGACCCCAAAAGACATCTTGCGTTGAGTCACAAACCAGACACCGAAATTCCACCACGCAATTTTCACTTGCGTGTGAGGGTGTGCGCGTCTGAAGAGAAAAAAATGACCAAATTTCATTCATGGCTTGGAGTTTTTGCTAATGGTCAATTTACCTGTCAAAATGCACATGATGGAGGGGAACAATATGATAAGAATGACCACAGATAGGAGAGTTTTGCATTTAGTTGAGGTTCAGTGTGTGCCTCGTAAAAATAATCATCAATGGGAATTTCTCAGTGTACAATGACCACCAAAGTTTAACACGTCTATGTACATGGCAACTTTTACATCATGCAAACCTCTAAACATTCTTATTATTTCATCAAGAACTAACCCTTTAGCAAGCATTATCACATCCCGAATTTCCATTCTACCAAACTGCAGTGCAGTGTTCAACTTCAGTCTACATCACCCTGGGGCAGTGATGTGTCCAAGGGGGTGGGGTACGAGGGGTGAACCATGGGGCATGGGGAGCTTGATGTCTGTCCCCTATTACCCCTGGTGGATACAACTGCAACTATGACCACACCCACTGATAGTGCCTCCCTCAAGCGTATGAGGTCTTTTGGTGACCCCTCCCCGGCAGACTGACTCCTACTTCGACCCAAGAGATACATCACCTGTAAACGTGCTTGCCTACTCAAGCACATTCATCCATGCTTCCCAACAGGTTTATCAAATACAACATGAGACAGCCAGCAACCACAAGTTTCGTCAGCTCACTTGAGTACTTTGTTTTCTACAAGTTTTTAAATAATGTTGAGCAGGGAGTCATTGTGATTTTTACAGAAACACAGTGTAGGGGGGTCCCAAGAGATAAGAAGGACAGAGGGCTGTGGTCATCTGGATTTCTCCTTGTTGAGGGCAGCGATGAAGTCTTCCAGCTTCTCTTGAATCCGTCTGACTCTCTCTGCGGAGAAGAGAAGAACCGGAATGAGACAAATGAATCAATTTGTCATGTTAGGGATTCGAACCGGAGACCTTTTCAATTGTCCATCCCTTGAGTTGATATTCTTGGGAGTGAGAGTCCCGGGCTCTCCATGTAGCCGTTTTACTGGCAAGCTTACCCAGAAGTCTGCAAATCCATCTAGATCTTTTGAAATTCTCCACTACATCCTAAACAGTGATGTGTTTGCAATGGAACCAACCGACAGAGTTTCATTGTAACTTGTTAATTCTCCTGAAGATTCGCTGACCCTGACAGCCCTCCACCTTCCACTCGGAGGACTCAGCACTTGTTTGGTTAATTTTTGACAGGTTTTCATTCTGAACCCCACATTTCTTTCTTTGGAAATTCATTGACAGGAGGAGCTTTTTGAGTGATTTTTTTTGGCTCAACGAAGTTGGGTCCCAGTCTGCCGCTTGCAAAAGATTACTACATGTACAACAGTTGGTACTCTCAAAAGATCTTTCGAACACTTTACCCCCAAAAGGCCAGACAGTCCTGGAAAAAAAATATCAAGAATCAGACAGACATGGAATTAGAGAAATTGATCAAACACGCACAAGATTTGCTTTTCCGGACAAAGGGGCGAGAAAAAAAAAATGCATTGTCACACATCGAGGGAGTGCTGGTCTAAACATTCCAATGGTGACCTGGTACAATAAAGCTGTCATTTTCTCCTAAAAATTTCTGTCATTTTTTTCCAGACTTGGAAGGTCGTCAGGACAAAAGGGTACTCTTGCCAAAACACAAAACAACGCGCTAACTTTTGCCACGGTTTTTTTTTTGGGGGGGGGGTGATTGCAGCAAGATGGAAAGGTCAAGATTCCAAGGGGTATTAAGATTAATCTTCTCGGAAGTAATTCAGAACTCAAGAGCTAATGCACAGATATCATGGTCATACAGAGGCCACTCAGAAATACTTTCTGTTTGTAACCAGCCCATACTATTACTAAATGTTTCCAAAAGCTGAAATTTTTAAAAAATTATTGCAGGACCCAAGACTATATACGTTAGCTATTAATGCACTTTAAATACCAATTAATGTAATTGAGGGTAAGCAGTGACATTTTTGTTCAAAGGCCTCAGGTTTTTTTTACTTTGATCTATAAAATATAGTCTTTGAAATTAAACAGCAGAAAGGTTTCTGAAACAAACTTATTAAAGGCTAGAACACCATCTTTTTGAAATCATTTTGAGGACAGGCCTAATTATCAATCATACTGACAATTGTCAAATTCATTTTCCATCCATTATGCTAGCTGATTGTAGTAGCTGCCTAGACCAACAAGGACAACAGTGGGTAATTAGGGGACCCAAGGTTAGCGCCTATTCAACACAGGTTTTCTCTTTTTGGTTAGCACCCCAGGCAACAAATTTATGACAGCTGATTGTCAAAATTGGTAGGGCGTGTATCCCGACTCAGTGAGTTGCTTCATGGATGAAAGACCACACTGTGAAAAGACCCACAAAACGTTGATACTTTGAGGGTTACGATCCAATCCCAGGGACAAAAGATTAACATTGTAATTTGTATAGCAGGCCATGAACATCTCCGGTCCGTCATTCAACCTTCCCACACATACACTGGTCAGGTTTGAAATTTGGAGCCAACTTCAAAAATAAATGAATTACGAATACAAAGCAAGCAGACACACAGGAAGTTGAGACCCAGCAGTGGGTATAAGACTGAGCATTTACGATGGAAAACACAAGCATCAAGTCCTTTTTGGAAACTGGCAGGGTGCATAAATTGAGAACTGCTTGAGAAAAATAAGTAGAAAAGGAAGAAAAAATTCCTCTTGATGCTTAAGGTCAACTTCGAATCCCACTATCCAAAGCACCTTTCCTTTGTTAAGACCAGCCACAGTATGTAAAAAGGGTATAAATCTGACCTTTGCAAAATAAAGCTTACATGTAACCCTGAGAGAATTTGTCTTTGCCAGCTTTAAGCAAGCTTCGGAGTGCTACCTGATGTGTACACAGGGCCCAGAAGATGCAAGTTTCATTTACAACTTAGCTGGACAAAGGATTTTGTTCTCTGTCTTGCCAGCAATTGGTGTTGCGCGTGCATTCCATAAAATAAAGGATTTTGTTTCTCATAGTCAATAAAAAAATCAACAGTTGAACATTTGACATTTCACTAAAACCGCACATCAAAATTTAATGACAGAAAACAGAAAAAAAAAAGTGCAAAGCTAGGGCATCCAGTCTAAAGACTAGCAATGGTCCAATGCTTAGCAATAAAATCACCAGGAGAAGTGTCTACGCTTTGGTGAAGTTGAGAGGAGATGTGATGCAACATGTGCACCCATTAAGCAGTCTTCCCTCCCTCTTCATGGGCCTTAATTGACCCCCTCGGACAAGACACCTGTTGAAATTACACAGCTGGACTCTCTGTGGGTGCCCTCCCCAAGAAAGTTAAGGAAGAGAACTCTCAGACCAAGTTATAGAAGTAAAACTGGAGTTCTACGGTGCTGTATAAAAGCCATGAGGAAAACATGGAGCCTCCTTCGATTGTACTTCAGCTCAGCAAGGTTCAAGAAGGCTACTTTGAAACCAACTTTTTTCATAACGTAGGTACATGTGTGGATCTCAGCTTCAACTTTCAAGGCAACATGGAGGCCCATTGAGGCATCCAAAGCAGCCCTGCCTGGCCAAACCACCTCATGGGACTCCAGAGTTAACCCAACACCCATCAAGCCATCTGAATTGGTTGCCGCCCACCCCCCAGTTCCAAGCCTTGGCCTTACTGAGGTGGATGGACAAACAAAACCTTCTGGCCTTGTTCTTCAAGATTACTGAAATTTGAGGGAAAGCGCACGAAAAAAACAAAGATATCACCTCTTTGAAGCATCCGCCCATAGCAAGTACTGGTATATGGGAACCAGATGGGACAAATTAGACCCCCAGGGGACTAATCACAACCCTGGGCACAACACACAACACCTAAGGTGAGACTTTTATTGGATTTTAAACGCCTTGTCTGGTACCTCCCCTCCCCCCTGGCAATTCCCCCCCCTTAATTACTGAAAGATAAAAAAAAAGTCTTCCACTCCAGTCATTCCAACTATCTGTCTGGAATGCCACTTGACAAGGGAAGAGGTATTTTATCTTGTGGCATTGCTGGTTCAGCTCTTGCTATCTGACATAATGGGCCTACATTTATCAAGGGTCCCATGCATGCTACAATACTGTGGGTACTGACACATTTATATGATATGTAAAGCATACCACACACACACAAATTTGAAGAGCGAGAGCATGATATAACAACAACGAGACAAGAAGCAGGGCATAATTGTAAAAATGCAGCGCGTAGTTTGGTCCGGAATAAATCATGCTGCCTGATGAAGCACACTTTCTTTCAGCAGGAACTGTATTTGTTATTTTTAAACTTGCCACACTAACTTGTCTGGATTCAGATCAACAAGGCTTCACTGTGAATAACTCCTTTTTCATATGACTGGTGTAAGGTTATGTTGTTACGAGGTATGACAGTGAGTTTTGCAAGGATACTCTGGAAAGTTTAGAGATTTCCAAACCTGTGGACAAATATCGGAAGTCGTTATTTCCACAATCAGGGACAAATGCCAACCTGAATTAAGGTAGGAAAGCACACTTAAGGAGATTAAAGAGATGTGTGTCCATGTACTCAGGCGTGCCACATCCCCCATCATTCATGTTTGAGCTCTTATGCAGTCACCAGCAAATGTTCTGTTGGCAAATTGGGGAAACAAAAGGGACCACGTGCTGCAGACATGTGGGCTTTTCCTAGCTGGGTAGACCATAAAAGAACTCCTTACTATGAGCAGCAGAATGATTATCACTCCATGAACTAACAGGAGAAGACTGTGGGCCAGTCATAACAAAGAACAGAGTTGACTCACTCACAGGAAGGCTCTAAAACAGCTAAACCGCGGGGATTATGATGCATTAGGACACCCAGCATAATTAACCTGGTCGCAATAATTACTACAAGGGTTTGGCTTTATCAACACAGGTGGCCCATCTTCTGCAAGGTGAACACTGGGTGTTAAAACGGCATTACTGTTGTTTGAGTAAGTTTTGAGTTGTGAAATTGGCCTTGGAAAATTTAAAATCAACACAAAACGTGAAGGAAAAAATCTCTGTGCTAGAATTTGAGTTGGAAACGGAAAAAGCCTTGGCCCCATGCCATCAAAACAGTTAAGCATATTTCTGTGGCAAGCAAAACTTCAGCTGACAGCCAGTTGTGATCGAGATATGTATCATGTGACAGTTTTGGCTGGTAACCGTTTTGTTTTTGCTGAATCAATACTGTCTTAGCTGGGTGAAGTCTGTGCTTAGCTGCTGCCGGAAACTAGGCCCAGGTCTGGATGATTGCTGTCTGCCAGCCAGCCACATCTGGACATGGGCAATTCTGGTAGTCTGCTCATCTATTAACAAAAAAGCATTGATTGAAACAAGCCCAGTAATTACAGGCAAGAACCAAGCAGCCCTTGACCAAATTAAGGAGAACAAGGCAGGGATTATCTGTATCATTACATCCAGGCAACTGTACCCAGTTAGGCAGATTAAAGCTTTGGAAAGGGGTTTACAAGAAGTATGCTGGTAGGCTCATGGTAGGCTCTACAGTAGGGGTCCAGGGACTGTAATGCAAACTTGTCTTGTGCGATCAGTCTGTCTAACAGTATGCAACTCTGGGTACAATGCAGCTGGGCCCAATCTAATACACTTTCATCTGCAGAAGTTAGCAACTTTTGTGTTTAAAGATACTCTCTGTGAACCAGTTACAAAAAAGTATACAGATTCTGTGACAATCTGGCTGGTGGCCAATTTTTGTAGAGTACGCATCTCCACTGATTTGGAAATGACTGTAAGCCATGTCCGAATTACTTGGCTGCGGCTTGACATTTACACAGAGTTCCATTGGGAGTGGCTGCAGCCACTAGTCCCACTAGTATATAGACTTATGAGTAATTGCG